ATCCCAGTGGTTCACAAGCTACATAGCACAGCCTACTTCGGGAATGCACCAGACGCATTTCGCTTTATAGTGGCATCGTCAGTGATGCGCATTTCGTTATTCCGCCACTGGGGATCGCACCCATGAGCGCTAGAGGCAGATGCTAACTTGGCAGCAGCTTAAGGCACTGAGGCATGGAGGACGTTCACTTGGCTACATCGTTTGCTAATTCATTGAGTTATAGAATCGCAATCTTCTACTGAGAGTGGGTAGCCTGCGATTTGGTGACATCTCGTTAGACGCTATATCCATAACATTTGAAACTATGAGAGGATATTTAGATTATATTCCTCTTGAGTAGCAGCATGTTAGTTGTAATCTTTAAGTTGTTCGTCTTAATCTTTCCCTAGCTATTTCGCACAGCTTAGTTTGGGATAGCACCAGGCGCGTTTCGCCCAATTCGGACTCATCAGTCATGGGTATTCGTTTTGTTCCCTACTTTGGATTGATCGCATGAGCGCTGGAGGCAGATGCTTAATAGCTAACAGCTTAAGCCACTGAGACATGGGGGACGTTGGCTGCGCTACATAATTTGCAAGCTAACTGGTATATATATCACCACCTATCGTCCAGTGTCACTGACGGTGGATAGCCTGTGAGGCGTTGACGTCTTCTCGTTAGACGCTATCTCCATAGCGTTTGAAACTGATTCGGGCTATTTATGTTATATTCTTATTGAATAGCATTATTTTAGTTGTAATGTTTAAGGTATTTATCCCAATACTTCACAAATTACGTAGGACAGCCTAGTTTGGAAAAGCATCAGACGCGTTTTGCTTTATTGGGGCTCGTCAGTGATGCGCATTTCTTTGGTCCCCTACTTTGGATCGATCGCATGAGCGCTGGAGGCAGGTGCTAACTGGCTAGCAGTTTAAGCCACTGAGGCATGGTGGACGTTGGCTGGGCCACATACTTTGCAAACTAACTGGTATATAGCACCACCTATCTTCCAGTGCCACTGACAGTGGATGGCCCGCGAGGTGATGACGTTTTCTCGGTAGACGCTATATCCATAGCGTTTGAAACTAATCCAGGCTATTGATGTTCTATTCCTACTGTGTAGCATTATTTTAATTGTAAGTTTAAGGTATATATCCCAATGTTTCCCACATTATATTGTATAGACTATTTGGGAATAACAACAGTCGTTTTGCCCTATTGTGGCTCGTCAGTGATGCGCATTTCTTTGGTCCCCTGCTGGGTACCTATCCCATGGTCGCTAGCGGAAAATGCTGACTGGCTATCATCTTAATCCACAGGCATGGGGGACTTTAGCTGGGCTCCGTATTTTGCAAGCTAACTGGTATATAGCACCACGTATTTTCCACTGTCACTGACAGTGCATAGCATGTGATTTGGTGACGTCTTCTCGTTAGACGCTATATCCATAAGGTTTGAAAATATGAGAGGTTATTTAGATTATATTCCTTTTGAGTAGCAGCATGTTAGTTGTAATCTTTAAGTTGTTCATCTTAATATTCCCCCAGCTATTTCGCACAGCGTAGTTGGGATAGCACCAGGCGCATTTCGCCCAATTCATACTCATCAGTCATGGGTATTCGTTTTGTCCCCTACTTTGGATTGATCGCATGAGCGCTGGAGGCAGATGCTTAATAGCTAACAGCTTAAACCACTGAGACATGGGGGACTTTGGCTGCGCTACATGATTTGCAAGCTAACTGGTATATATATCACCACCTACCTTCCAATGTTACTGACGGTGGATAGCCTGCGAGGTGTTGACGTCTTCTCGTTAGACGCTATCTCCATAGCGTTTGAAACTAGTTCAGGCTACTTATGTTATATTCTTATTGAATAGCATTATTTTAGTTGTAATGTTTAAGGTATTTATCCCAATACTTCACAAATTACATAGGACAGCGTAGTTTGGAAAAGCATCAGACGCGTTTCGCTTTATTGGGGCTGGTCAGGGATGCGCATTTCCTTGGTCCCCCACTGCGTGTCTATTCCATGATCGCTAGAGGCAAATGCTAACTGGCTAGCAGTTTAAGCCACTGAGGCATGGTGGACGTTGGCTGCGCTACATACTTTGCAAGCTGACTGGTATATAGCACTACATGTCTTCTAATGTTACTGACAGTGGATAACCTGCGTGTTGATGACCTTTTCTCGTTCGACGCTATATCCACAGCGTTTGAAACTAGAGGATGCTATTTATTTGATATCCCTCTGGAGTAGCAGGATTTTATGTTGTATTTTTTAGGGTATTCATCACAGTAGTTCACAAGCTACCTCGCTCATCCTAGTTTGGAATATCCCTGGACGAGTGTCGCCCAATTCGGAGTCGTCAGTGGTACGCATTTCTTTGGCCCTTACTGCATGCCTATCACATGATCGCTAGAGGCAAATGCTAACTGGCTAGCAGTTTAAGCCACTGAGGCATGGTGGATGTTGGCTTGGCTACATAGTTTGCAAACTAACTGGTATATAGCACCACCTATCATCCGCTGTCATTGACGGTGGATGGCCTGCGATTTGGTGACTTCTTCTTGTTAAACACTATATCCGTAGCGTTAGATGCTAGTCGAGGCTATCTTTTTGATATTTTCCTTGAGTAGCACTATTTCTGATGTAATTTTTAAGGCATTCATCCCAATAATTCCCAAGCTACATAACACAGCGTAGTTTGCATAAGTACCAGACTGGTTTCGCTTTATTGTGGCTCGTCAGTGATGCCCATTTCTTTGGTCCCCTACTGGGTATCTATCCCATGAGCGCTAGTGGCAGATGCTAACTAGCCGGCAGCTTAAGGCACTGAGGCATGGGGGATGTTCGCTGGGATACATAATTTGCAAGCGAACTGGTATATAGCACCACCTATCTTCCAATGTCACTGTCATTGGATAGCCTGCGAGGTGATGACTTCTTCTCTTTGGACGCTACATTCATTGCATTTGATACTATGGGAGGCTATTTCCTTATTTTCTTCTTGAGTAGCGGCGCGTTAGTTGTAATTTTTGAAATGTATTCATCCCAGTCGTTCCCAAGCTACTTCGCACAGCCTTGCTTTGTGTAGCACCAGACGCGTTTCTCCCAATTCGGACTCGTCGGTAATGCGCATTTCTTTGGTCGCCTTTTTGCATCAATCGCATGAGCGCTGGCGTCAGATGCTAACTACCTAGGAGCTTTAACCATTGAGGCTTGGGTCCGTTTGGTGGGATACAGGTCTTGCGCTGTCACCTACAGTGGCTATTCTGCGAGGCGATGATGTCTTCTCGTTAGACACTATATCCATCACGTTTGAAACTATAAGAGGCTATTTATTTGACATTCGTATTGCGTTTCAGGCTTTTGTTTGTAATTTTTATGATATTTATCCTAGTATTTCTCTAGCTACATAGCACAGCGTAGTTGGGGAAAGTACTAGACGCGTTTCGCCTTTTTGGATGTTGTCGGTTATACCCATTTCTTTGGTCGCCTACTTTGGATCGATCGCATAAGCGCTATGGGAGATGCTAACTAGCTAACAGCTTAATCCACTGAGGCATGGGGGACGTTGGCTGGGCTACATAATTTGCAAGCTAACTGGGATATTGCGTCACGTATCTTCCACTGTCACTCACAGTGGATAGCCTGCGTTTTTGTGACATCTTTTTAGACGCTATATCCACCGCGTTTGAAACTGTGAGATGCTATTTATTAGAAATTCCTCTTGAGTAGCAGGATTTTAGTTGTAATGTTTAAGGTATTCATCCCAGTATTTCACAAGCTTGATTGTACAGCCTGATTGTACAACAGGAGACGCGTTTCGCCCTATTTATGGTCGTCATTGATGGACATTCCTTTTGTCTCTTAATTGATCCGGTGAGCGGTGTTTCCAAATGCTTACTTCCCAGCTACTTGCACCTCTGAGCCAAGTGTGACGTTTGCTGGGCTACATATTTTGCAAGCTAACAGGGATATTGCACCACGTATCTTTCACTGCCACTGACAGTGGCGAGCCTTCGAGATGATGGCGTCTTCTCGCTGAACAGTATATCCATAGCGTTTGAAACTATTTGAGGCCTTTTGTTGAGTAGCCGGATTTCAGTTGTAATTTTTTCTGTATTCATCCCACACAAATGTTTGTTGGCAATGTTTGTATCCTGCGGGATCGTCACCCCTCCACTGAACTCACCCAACTCACTGCTGAATGATTGATCAACCCCGTTCTGTTCCTAGAACTATACCTAGTCTTGTCGTTTAGAGATGTGTACTGGGACCATTGCTTTTCCTCATTTACATCATCGGTGTATGTGACCACATTGGGTATGCGTTCCTAATTTTTTTGCGGACGACTTCAAAATAATGTGCTCATTTCTGCGGAACCACTCCTAGCTTTCCGTGAGCAATACACTTGAAAATCCTGGATGCATATAGTGAAAGTACCTTTGTGAGGTTCTGAACGGACAGATTATATTTTCTGCCACATTCTGTGTACTAGAACCCTCCATCGCTCTTACTAGTGCCTTCATCCCAACCACGTTCTCCGAGACCTAGGTATGCGTTGCTCTAGCAACTTCACCTTACCAACACTATGTAGGGAAAGCGTAACAACTGACAGGTTACATCACCAAGTCATTTTCACTGCCCCAATCAACAGCGGAATCCTACAACCAACACTAGAATACTGCAACATGCATAGCACCTACGCGAAACAGATAGAGTTGCTTTTGAAAACGTCTAACGCTTGTTCATATTCTATGTATCTTCCCCATCACTGACCCATACTGACTCCAAAGTACACTTATGAAATGCTGGCAAATTTCACTATTCCCGAACATAGATCTTATTTTGAAATGATGGTGAATGCGGACCTATTGGCTAGCCGAAAACATTATCTAACCCAGATATAGGATACCTAACACTGTACAAATGTGTCGGGAAATACACCCTTTATTTATTTATTTATTTAAATGACCGGACATTGTGCTTCTCGGTTTTCCTTTTTATGGGTCCAGGTTCATTGAAACTCAAGGGGTGAACAGAATCTTCGCCAGTTGTGACAGGTACATGTGGGATCTCGGACCGCGTGCGCTTCCGTCTGGGGTTGTTCTTGATGGAGGTTCGGATTGGATGGTTTTACCTCACGAGTTCGTGCACTATGCTGTATTGAGCCAGGATCCTTTGGTATCCAACTTGAAGGAATATTTCAACTACACCCTCTTACCTGTTGAAGTAAGTTCTAATGTTCTATGAAAATCTGTTGCATTTGAGTCAAGTGCCACTTTAGCTACTTCCAGTTGGATGTGTGTACCGGCTCCATGGATGGCCGTATTACATTACATTTATTTATACTCCAAAATTCTCCGTATTCTATTACTTATAAACTAAAGAACACTTCTATCACTTCATTAGGACCGTTGTAAAACGAACAACTTTCTCCACTCTACGATTAAGTTGTACAAACTGATCATTCCACGTAATTGGTCTGCGTCTCGCAATATCAGGAAATATACCATTTGTTTATTTATCTATTTGAGATAATGGCGTTTGTTTACCGATATCTTTGGGAGAACCGATTGATTACAGCTGAGGCTTGTCTGAAATTTGGTAAACCTTCAGTTGCGTCGTTAGTGTTCTCTCTGAATTCGAGTCGCCTTCTGTTACTTGGTTGCAAGTCGGTTACATACTCTTTGTTGTTTATCAATACTGAGCCTATTTAGGTGCAATCCCAGTGTAATATGTCAGCGGCATTCCAGGAGAGCTTGACGAACCATACTGAAGGTCTGAGTAGTGTTTATTGTCTTCCTGTATAAAAACCTCAGCATCCGACACGTAATTTGTTTTTGCTCCGTCAGATGTGGCGCAATTACGGTCAGTGATGTTGTTGTATCCTTTCTTATTTCTGGCCCATCTGGTGCTTTTTTATACCACTTTCTGACCGTGAACTTCACTCTCACCCACTGCTCTGCCGTGGTCCGTATGCATGAGGCTGCTAACTATGCGAGGCGACCTGTGTGACACCCACTCACCTTAATCTACTTTGTCATCTATCTTGCCTGTTTCATATGAAATCTAGTCAATACGTCGGCCGGTGACCGAGTGGTCTGCGTGCCTGATTTGCAATCATAAGTTCACCGGTTCGAATCTAACTAGGGGTGTGCGTCTTCACGGCATACGGCCCACGCGCCTGGTGGTGGTGATCGTGTGACAGCGAATCGCCGTTAAGGCGTACAGCTGACCTTTTTATTATTTATTCTGGTTAATACACCGTGCTGTGCCATGAAGTCTTTGTTCTGACTGCTCTACGCCCAACTAACTGCAGTTATGCCAATTTTTTCATCATTATTTGGAGACGCTTCAGGGCAACTGGATCCAACGATTCCGATACACAAACCATAGTCTATCAACTGGACTGAACCGAACTATTTCTTCTAACTGCTAACATGCGCGTCCGATGATTATAAAGCTTTCCCCCTTTTTTATCAGTTGGCTTATCGTTCGTTTTTCACTCAACTATTGTCGCCATTGCAGCACGAGTCCATACAACGTACTTAGTGTTACCATCATGCTCGGGTCGCGTTGCCTAACGACAAATCTGGACTGCCGACCGGGCTAGGATTGCATGTTCTGGGCTTTCCCTTCCATTAGCACTTTGGTCCCTGTTTTGACCCTCTGTTATAAGTGACCGGAGTCAAGTCTCGAACTTGAGGCATATAGTGGGTGCATCGCGATGAGACTGGATCTTTACCCTTTCCCCACCGACTGGGAGATCACCTTTCTTTGATGGCAACTTGACCATCCTTTATAAGATCTCAGCATATTCCACATATTCTTCAAGATAATTATGGTGTACATACTCATTGATCAAAATTTGTCATCAGTGCGAAAATGTGACACTCTAGTGTTGAAATATTTTTCCTACAGCCCTCCTTACCTGAGCATATTTCCTAAGACGAAAAGAAGAAAAAATAACAACAGACAGATTCAACTGGAAAGTTGAGTATGAATGGATATAAGGCGGTTCAAGTTCAATTCAAATTTTTATTCGGGCCATTGACCAAATACATTTATCTGTTTCCAAGATGTAATATAAGACCCAAACATAATGAAACAAGAAACTGAAGAAAAAATTCTCGAAATTGGTAATTTTGGCAAGACATTTGCAGTTGTTGCTAAGGTTTGTGGTATGTTAGAGACCGGTTTGAGTGATTTTAAGGCAGTTGAGTTGTCTCACTTGATCCTAATGAGTTGGCACTGCTAACCTTCTCTTTATCTGCTGGTTGTAATAGATTTTCTTGCATCCATATTACATCTTTGGCGTTTGTCTTTTTGAGGGAGAGTGTTTGATTCATGTTTGTGTTTCAAGACTAATCTCGCTGCAATGGATGACAAGTCCAGGTTCTCAAAGAAGACCACCAACGGTCATCTGTCGGTCTTGCTCTTGTCTGTGAAAGCTTTTGCCATTTAGTTCATGACATCAACCCCACTTTTAGCGTCGTTATACTAAGGCACGATCTCCGGTCTTTTTCCTTCCCTCTCTTCTTTACTATCAGGCTTGCTATGCATGGCACTTAGTTTCATCTTCATCAGACCCATTGTCTTCTTCATTATCCTCTTCTGGGTTGCTGTTAAATGTTCGCAAATAATTAAATTCTGCAGATGCCAATTCTGTGCATGCAGCAGCCCTCAACACCATATTCAGACCTAGAGGTATCACTATTGTCTTCCGGTAGTAGCAACTGCCACTCTTCTTCTTTATCTGATTTTTATGAATTATCACTTCTGAACTTGCTTTCATCATCATTATCAATCTATCGCGTCTGTACCCACAGACGCCGCGGCTTTCTGCATCAGTGTGCTGGATTCTACTTTTGCTTCGGATTACTTTGTTATACTTGCTTTTTCCGTGTGAATTGCGCACCAATATTTTTCTCTTGGTGCATTTTTCAATCTGTGCAAATTTGGTGGATAGTCTCTGGCTAATTCCGGAGATCTCCTTGATTAGCCCAACTGCCGCCTGCGTCCATCATTTTGAACTTGTTCTACCTTGTTATGCCGTCTCAATCTAAATGTGATTTGTGTTCGAACGTTATTGGGCATATGTCGCATGCACTTCGGTGCTTTGGCTGTGGTGTTTTGTTCCATGTTTTATGCATTGCTTTATTCGTTGACGTTTTTCAGAAATTCTCTCGACATCCGACATCGGTTTTTCCAGGTTATATGTGATAAATGTCACGGTTCAAGACATGAAAATACACAGCGACCGCCAACGACTACAGGAAAGCCTTTTTTACAGGCGGAAACACACCGTTCACCTCGTAGAATGAAACGCCTTCGTGGAAGTACCTCGGTCAACTCGTCTTCCCCTGCCACTCCTCGGTCTGCACCACCACCATCGTCTTCGAGCCCGGCCGTCTCAGGTTCAGTGTTCTCCACGGATTGAAGAACTCATATTCGGAATGTCTGAAATGCCGCTTCACTGATCGGTCCGTGTATTTCTCTGCCTGTCTGCGAACCTCTGAACACCGAGGATCCATGGACCACGTAACCGTTCAGGTGCCCCCTACTAGTAGACAACCCAAACAAATAAGCGCTTAAGTACGTACCGGTCATGGCTCAAATGCGCGGAAAGGTGGTAACATATGGGCTGTACTGTAGTTTTGCTCCCACAGGTTCATCACCGATTTCGCTGAGGCATCATAATCGCATGGTCTTCCACGCACCAAAGATGAAAACCATCACATACTTTATGATCACAATGTTGAATTCCTCTATGGGCTGTTCGATAACCTGTTGGATGTATGTGAAGACAGTGTGACGATTAAACAAGTTGTCTGACTTGGCCAACAAACTAACCATTCATGTCGACCTCTGACAATCCCGTTTGCGAATCACAAAACGCCACAGCTAATACTCTCTTGCCTGTCAAGGCTAAAAGGCATAAGGGTTCACATCCGCCGAGACTTGGAACCCGAAGACAGGGCTCGTTTGAAGACTGCGGTCCTTGAGCTCAAACGCCGTACAGAAGAAGGTGAGGCTTACTTACACATTGTAAATTTTCGTGTGATCAAGAAGGGTGTACGTATCAACCGTTTGCTCAACCTTCACGCACGTCCCGCGGTACCTCCCAGGATCTCCTTGTGGTATTCGCCAGCGTGTGCAGCATAATGAACAAACGTGACGAACTGTGCCGCTTCACTGTCTCGAAGCAGCCGGATGTCTTAGGACTTGCAGAGACTTAGTTAAACTCCGACCTCATACCCCAAGAAGTCGCCTTGTCATAATAATTAACATTAACACTCGCGACCCTATCGATCGCTATTTGCTATTTATCGGAAATCCGCCTGCAAGATTCGAGCTCCCTGCTTACTCCGCGGTCCCGCACATGCGACACTGACGGCACATTCTCATTGCGCCTGTCTGGCGATGACGCAGCTTCAAACACAGGTCAAGCTGGCGTTGGTATTGCTCTAAGCCCCCGGGCTAAAGCTGCCCTGATCGACTGGATCCCTGTCAACAGCCGGATGTGCGCCGTTAGGTTGGCTGACTCGTTCGAAACTTCGAAGTCGCGCGGGGCCAAACGGTGCCTGTTTGGTCATTGCGGCTTACATCCGCAAAAACTGCAACCCTGATTCGGTGAAAGATGATTTCAATCACAAACTTAACCATCATCTTTTTTACAGAAGAAGTACGGATACTGTGGTGCTTGCTGGTGATCTAAACGCCCGAGTCGGAAAATTTGTCCTCTGATGAGCTTCATTTGGGTGGCCAACATGGTGTAGGCGCCCGTAATGATAACGGTGAGCTGTTGCAACACCTGTATGATGGTGTAGCACTAACTTTCGACATAGCACCCGCAGAAGAGTAACTTGGCGCCCACCAGCCTCGGGCCAGCCATGCACGTCAATTGATCCTATCGCGATTAGTTACCACTGAAGAGGCTGTATTCAAAACTCGCTCGATTTGGAGCACAGGCGTGGACTCCGATCACGCTGTTGTTTGTGCTGATCTGCGGGTGCGTTTCGGCGGACCTCCGCGCCGTCGCTTTGAGCGCATTGACACCAGCCAGGTGTCCTGGATGTTTATCAAACTATGCTGGCATCTGGGATGAGTAGACGTCCACTGAACACAGTCGAAGATCACTGCTCGCATATTCATCACATGTTACTATTAACAGACGTGTCTTCATGTGTCAACTCAAATTGCCAACCTAGACATTGGGTCTCTACAAA